TCATGACGCAATCCTTTTTAAATTGGGTTGTTATTGAGTGTGCCCGACAAGGGCAGTCCAAAAGCGGGGACGGGCCATCTCCTAATCTTTTAATTTAAAAATGAGAAAATTACCATAAATCTTACGTTTTAAGGGTGTATTTGATGGATGTTATTTTGGAAGAATATATTTCGGAATAGTAGATTGATGGAGAATGTGTGGTTGAAAATGAGTAGAAGAATGTGGGCTAAGTTTTAGTTTCATGGTAATCTTTTAATAATAAAATTTTTTTTCTTTCAAAAATCAAGTATATCTCCCAACACCCCCACAACCCCACCTCACCCCTTCAAAATGAATCTGAAAAAAATTTGCTCTCCCAGTTTCTCCCTTTGATAGAAACAATTTGACGTCAGACAGAATAGCGATTATTCTGCAGGTTGGTTTCATCAGATAATTCACATGAAAGAATACAAGAGAAAACGTCAAGAAAATCCAGAAAATTATTTATTATTTCCTTCACCATGCGAAAATAGCCCACAAATCGGGCTATATAGCTAAAAATCATAATTATCGAAATTTTATCAAAAATAACAAAATCTCAATATTCATATCAAAAGAAAGTACGTAATAAAAGAAATAATATCCCAAAAATCTTGCTCAAATCGAGTTCATAATCTCTTTTAAAAAGGTAAACAAAATATTACCCAAAAAAGAAAAAAATAACTAAAATTGGGGATTCGGAAGGGAAAACGAGAAATTTTGCCCTCGAAATCGATGTGCACCGAGCAAAACTCGATGACCATGACGTGCGCGCAGAAAAGAGCTTTTCGAATTTGGATCATAAGCGCTATTCTGATAACCATAGTCAAAGTTATGGCCAAAATACTAAAACGTGTTCAAAAACTACCTTAATTAGGAAAAGATTTCGATTACTTGCCATTTTGCGCTGATATGTCAACTCATGGTACCTTCGCGTCATCAACGAGTTATCAGACGACTCGACATCATCTGACTCGAATCCTCCTACATCACAATTTAATTCAATTTTCGATAACGGGTAGGAGTGGCGGACAGCAAGCCAATCTAGTCCCTGTGAGAGGAGCGATAATGGAACTAGAGGAGCGGGGAGATAGGCGGTAGGACTGAAGAAGTAGATAACAAAAACTGTGCTATTTTAGATGGTAAAACATCTTGCCACGATGGCATTCCTCCAGTTCTGCCACATCAATCCGTCAGTTCATCTCACCATAGGACGTTCCCCAGTTTTTTCACATCAGGCCAACAGTTCATTCCCCTAGATCTACAACTTTCCTGTGGCAATTAAATCTGGTGGTTAGTGAAAATAAGTTCATTCGTCTTAAATTTAATACAATCACATTACATATACATTATCCTTTACATTTTGGCATGTGGAAATATACCATTGAACATTTCTAATTTTTTATAATTTTTGCATCCAATCAACACTTGTCAACACATGTCATTTCAACCATAATGTAAAAAAAATAAAAAATAAAAATGTACAAGTAACATTTCCAATATAGGTCCCGTTTGATGCACATTTTGAAGGTAAGAATGTATCTTTACTATTGATGTGATGGAGAATATATTGTTGAAAATGAAGGAAAATTTATTGATGTGATGAAAAATATTATTTTATTGAAGAACGTGTGATTGAAAATGAGTAAAAGAATGAGAATGAAAAAAAATAATGTGGACCAAACAAGACTTTAAGAACGATTCATTCCATTAGTTCATATATTCCTTCAGATCTATCACATCAAGTCAACAGTTCATTTCCCTTACCATAAAATTTAATTACTTCAACAGATGTGACTCGAATTGTAGTGGAAAAAATAGTTGGATATGAAGACATTAGATACATATGACTCGATTGATGTGTTGTGGGGGTGAGAAGAATACGACTAGTAGTAATTGTGACCAGTTAATTATATAATTTGTGACATATTAATTGTATGATTTGTGATTGAATATATTCAGAATGGAAGTGATATGTGAGTGTGACCCATTAATTTCAATTAGGTCACAACATTTATTAGATGTCACAACTGTGACAGCTTTTGATAAATTTGTTCATTTTGAAATTGTATTCTTGTAGTTAAAAATTTATCCGGTGCTAAGTTCCAAAAAGTTAGATGATGTAAAATCTCATTTCCGAGATATTCATTAATTATTTTCACGAGAGGTGACGGAATGAAATATTAACTGAAGATACATTATTTTATTGAATGTGTTAAAATATCTAGATTGAATTGTCATTCACCCACAAAAATTACACTTTCATCTACCCTATGGTAAAAGTTAAAACTCAATCTCAAATCAGCCTTTTTTGTTGACTTACGAGTTAAGGAATGAATAAATTTGGTGGGGGGTGGGGGCCAGGCGTGGGAGGAGGGCACCAAAAGCGTTTGGGAATGGAAACGCGTGTTCGGTGAAACTTACCAAAAATCGTGTTTAATATTCCAAGTGTCGTGTTACCATCTTTTCCGTTGGCTTTTAAATGTCAAATCGATCTCTTATCAAACAAATAAACCGTAATACAAAATTCCAACTAGTATTAAAGTGGGACACGCAACTCAAATGACATAAGTACCCCCAAGTTACTCGTCACCTTTCAATGGGTAGAAAATGAGATCCCAACCATTCATTTTTATAGTACTTAAGATTAATAAAATAAAATTTGCTTAACCACCGCTGAGAATATATTGTTGAAAATGAAGGAAAATTTATTGATGTGATGAAAAATATTATTTTATTGAAGAACGTGTGATTGAAAATGAGTAAAAAAATGAGAATGAAAAAAATAATGTGGACCAAACAAGGCTTTAATAACGATTCATTCCATTAGTTCATATATTCCTTCAGATCTATCACATCAAGTCAACAGTTCATTTCCCTTACCATGAGATTTAATTACTTCAACAGATGTGACCCGAATTGTCATGGAAAAAATAGTTGGATATGAAGACATTAGATACCTATGACTCGATTGATGTGTGATGGGGGTGAGAAGAATATGACTAGTAGTAATTGTGACTAGTTAATTATATAATTTGTGATTAATAAAATAATTTGTGACATATTAATTGTATGATTTGTGATTGAATATATTCAGAATGGAAGTGATGTGAGTGTGACCCATTAATTTCAATTAGGTCACAACATTTATTAGATGTCACAACTGTGACAGCTTTTCATAAATTTGTTCATTTTGAAATTGTATTTTTGTAGTTAAGAATTTTTCTCTTAAAAAATTTATCCGGTGCTAAGTTCCAAAAAGTTAGATGATGTAAAATCTCATTTCCGAGATATTCATTAATTATTTTCACGAGAGGTGACGGAATTAAATATTAACTGAAGATACATTATTTTATTGAATGTGTTAAAATATCTAGATTGAATTGTCATTCACCCACAAAAATTACACTTTCATCTACCCTATGGTAAAAGTTAACACTCAAATCTCAAATCAGCCTTTTTTGTTGACTTACGAGTTAAGGAATGAATAAATTTGGTGGGGGGTGGGGGCCAGGCGTGGGAGGAGAGCACCAAAAGCGTTTGGGAATGGAAACGCGTGTTCGGTGAAACTTATCAAAAATCGTGTTTAATATTCCAAGTGTCGTGTTACCATCTTTTCCGTTGGCTTTTAAATGTCAAATCGATCTCTTATCAAACAAATAAACCGTAATACAAAATTCCAACCAGTATTAAAGTGGGGCACGCAACTCAAATGACATAAGTACCCCCAAGTTACTCGTCACCTTTCAATGGGTAGAAAGTGAGATCCCAACCATTCATTTTTATAGTACTTATTAAGATTAAATTTTATTTTAAACGAATTGGTGGCGACTCAACGAACTCAAATGACATAAATACCCCCAAGTTACTTGTCATCTTTTAATTTGTTATGAGATCCCAGCCCTTCGTCTTTAGGGTACTTTTTCGTGTCCACTTTATTACTTATTCATGGTATCGTATACTTGAGATAAAATGTTCACAGCACTGCAACGAAAATTTTAATATTACTTATTGATCGTTAGTGTAACATCTTGAATATTGAGTAACTATTATCATAAAAAAATAATTTAAGAGATCATTAGCGTAATTATTTAAAATATTAGTATATTAGCCCCCTATTTGGCTTATGTATTTTTTTAAAATTCATTTTAATCACAAATTTTTATGGGATCCACGACTTTATCAATTTTTTAATCCTATATTTTATCAATTTTTATTAAAATTTACTAGAATTATAATTTTTAACTAAACCAAATAGGGGCTATAATGCTTTTCTCGAAATTTCAAACTGTAATGTGGACAATTTTATAGCTTGATTTGATTATATTTTGTAAATGATATATTAGTGTGTATATTTTTTTTTCCTCAAACTTTCACATTGCAATGTTGCATCCACTGATGCCCACAATAAGAGAACCATAAAAGCAAAATGCAATGGTTACGATTTTCATTTACACGATAATCAATTGCTAAAATAGACCTTAATAGAAAGCTAAAACTATTCCACTCAACGCAATTATGCAAAGAGTGAACCAACGGCCGGATCTAGAGTAAGGGTACGCTGCCACCCACCAAAAATTATAATAGAAAATCCAGATGCTATAATATAAAAACTTAAGGACTAACTTGCACTATTTTGTATACATTGGAAACCCATACGTAATTTTCTCAAAGGAATGGCATTTTCGACATTTCAACCAAGTCATAAATGCCCCTGGAGCAGCCACCAACAGAAGACCTACAATGGCGACGTACGAATGAATTTAAAGTCATAGGTTCATCAAAATTTATAACACCTACAAAATTGCCCAGCATTCAATTTGTTTTTCCTAAAAAAGAATTGATTCGCTGAATTTCTCTCTCTATCTCTGTAATTTCTTTTTAACCGTTTTGGTACAATCTACCATTACATAACATGCAGAGGGACTGTATACTTCTGTGAAGGGTGCATTTTGTTTTTGAGTTATTTGCGTACAGTGAAGATGGTGATGAGTTGGAGGAGAATTTTCAAGTCCTTGCAAGCGGTGTTGGCTCATGGGCTGCTTTTTTCTTTCACTTTGTTTCTTAGTCTCAAGCTTTGTCGTGCTGTTAATTACTCTTGGTGGTTTGTATTTCTTTTCTTCCTTTTTGGCCTTTTTTTTTGTGTTTGGTTTGCTAGGAATCAAAATTTCAGAATAATGAAATTAGTTTAATTTAATGAATATGGTTTTATGTGTTAGTCAATTTGGGCAAGAAAATTTGGGATTTTCTTCATATATGGTAAAAATTTCTGCTTTTCGGGGTTTTTGCAAACCTCTACATTTTCCCAAAGAAGATAATTGATTGTGATGCTTTTTCTACCTGATATATGCAGGTGTTTCGAAAAGATGTTATTTTTGGGCTGGTATTCCTCGAGTGTGGTTTAGGATTATTATATTATGATAGATACTTCTGAATTTTGTATTTGATTTTAATTTCAATATACTATCATGCTATTGCTATGGTGGTTTGACTCGTGTGTATATACACAATAGACGATATTTCTGTATCAATTAATTCGGCGATTCTTGCATTCTCGTGTATGAGGTCTTGATGACAATTATCCTACTCCAGTTGTAAAGTAAAAGGTTATAGGAAGATAGCATGAAGGAAAACTGAGTAGATAAGTACAGTTAGCTGTGTTATTTTCACTTCATGTAACTACTATATAGTCTGGACAAGAACTTGTTACACGTGGCACAGTACTGCCGTGATGGTTAGCAATTGCTTTATTGATTTGTATTTAACAACAGAGGGTGTGTGCTTAGCTCTCACCCTCATCCCACCCACGAAGCTGAGGCGGGAGAAAAGCGTAACTCACTGTGTTTTAGGTTACCCTTCTATGTTGTTGCCCCATGATGCTCCCCAAAGCGATCAAAATGATCTATCTGCATCAAATTGAAGTTTGCCATCTCTTTTTCCTCAGTTTTCACGGGTTTGCTTGTGTGTAGAATGCTAGGGGTTCATCTTCTTGCTACTTTATTTCAGCCTTTAATTGGATTGAAGTCCTTTGAATTGCAATGTAAGATCACTGTTTCTGAATTTTCACTCAGGAACGGTGGATAGTTCAAGTTTGAAATGGCGGGAAGGAGCATACAGTCTATTCCTTCCTTTAGTACACTTTTTGGTTTCCCTAGGATGACGTAGTGATGGTATTTGTCAATAAAATTTAAATGTTAATTTATTCTTACTCTCCTGCCTATTACAGATAGAGTATGCATTTTATCATAATAAGAGACAATGGGATCAAAAGAGCATTTGTGAATGCTTAAGTGATCAAAAAGCATTGGATATGTAATTTGAGGATCGAAATCAGGAATTGTATGTCCATCGGATGTGTCTAATTTCAGGCATCAGTTCCAATTGGATTTGCCTCTTATTTGGTTGGCATCCTATCAGTGTTGTAGATGGAATTTGGTGGGCTGTTATCTGGTGCAGTGCATTTCTGCAAAATAAACTTTCTAAATATTAATAAATTTGAAGCTATTGTCTAGTATTGAATCATAATTTGCTATTTTCCAACACACTGTTTTTTATCACGAGATACTAGTCTTTGTTTAGTTCAGTTAAAAAATTGACCACATTCACCTCATCATCTTACAAGTTTCCATAGTTATCAAGATATAATATCTCAAAACTTGTCTATCAAAACATCATTCACTAACTTACATGTGCTCAATCTTCTTTACACAGCCATAAGCATTTGTAACCATCCTTAGATTGATGCTTCATTTGCTTCAATTCGTAGGTTGATATTTTCTCCTCTCTGGTTATTTCATGCAGTTGTGGCAAGGGGTAGATTCTCCTTGCCTGCTCCAGCAATGCCTCATGGTCGCCACGTACGACAATCTATACCCCCCCACTGATTTATATTTAACTAATTCACAGGACAGTAATTTTATTTTTTATTTTTATGCCTAACATGATAATTTTGCCATAAAGTATAATTGTAAAAGTAACTTGGTACTCTTCCATGAACAGTGGGCGCCATTTCATGCCTTCGTGGCTACTCCATTGCTTGTTAGTTTTGAACTACTCCTTTGTGTGCACCTTGATAGAAGATATGGTAAACATTCTAATGTCTTCTGTGTGATAATCCCATAATAAGTTGTAGAATCAACAGATTTCGATTTCACTAATCTTTCTTACTTCACTTAATGCCTCACTCATCATTCTTCAGTATATCATTATTAACGTGTTTAGTTATTTAATGATCAATGGCAGATGTAAATTTGAAGATAGTATTTCTGCCTCTGCTGGCATTAGAAACAGCAATTTTGGTTGATAACATTAGGTAAGATTACCTGTCTTCATAAGAAATTAATAATCCATTCTGATCCCCAACTTCTATTGAGTTTTGAAGCTTTATCTGAACAAGAAACGTCATTCAAACTATCCAATACTTTGACTATGATGGCAAGTTGTTAAATTGTGTTTTTCTACTGATTAAGGATGTGTAGGGCACTTATGCCTGGAGATGAAGAATGCATCAGCGATGAGGCTATATGGGAGACTCTTCCGGTAAGTTTCTTTCTTCTTTTTTTTTTTTTTTTTTGCCCTCTATGTTTCTATTGTTTCATTCTTTTGAAGAGTACTAGTCAAACTTTGAAGACGATAACTTCTTGAGTCCTTTAAGCTGATTGCTTGGTGAAAAAAAAAACTCACTGATAACGATGTGGTGAACTAGCAACCTTTGTATGCATTTTGGTCCACACAATTTGTGCGCTTCAAGGCTTATAAGAAAGTCCCTTTTACCCCAAACTTTCTAAAAACATCGGATGACCTGTTTATAAAGTTTTAAAGTGTTCATATCCTCTTTTTTTTGATATAAACAAGAAGCTTGGTCCATGATTTCTGTTACATTCCTTTTCATATCATGTTATGTAGTGGTCAAAATCCCTCTCTTTCACGCGCGCGCGCACACACGTGTAGAACCGTGTTAGATCAAGAAAATATTTTATGAACCGTTGAACAGGATTAATATACAGACAGTTTTTAAAACAATGCTGTCTTTTCAATTGTTTACAACATTTAATGGACAGTGAAGCTCAAACTCGCAAATTATGTATTATGCTTTTTCTTTTTCTCTTAGTTGTTCTTCTACATGCATGTCTTAGATGCTCAACTACATAGTTTTTCACATTCCCTTTCTCCATCTCCCTCAATCCATGTCTTTCTTTCAGATCTTCGCATGTGCCTCTTGAGTTAGAATAAAACAGCAGAAATTGTAGACCATGTATATAGTAGAAAAAATATTTTGCATATGATCTTCCTTCAGTTTCTAAATGATCCATTAGAGATATGATATTAAGGAAATATGCAACAAATTCTATGTGCATAGTTTTGTTTTGTGAGGACATGTGATCACTGTTCATTACACTTGATTAGCTGAATTATCGATTTATGTTTCAGCACTTTTGGGTTTCAATCTCTATGGTCTTCTTCATTGCTGCAACAGCGTTTACGCTTCTGAAGCTATGCGGTAAATTCATCTTATAACCATGTCGAGACTTGTCGGTATATATATTTGATTCTGTTAACATTAAACCACTCAACAAAGCATGGAATTAATATAATCATGGTTTATGAATGTCAAGATGGCAAGAAATGGAAATAATAAATGATATGAACAACCAAAGGAAGGAAAGCACAAAATGATTTTATGTGCTTGGGCGAAGTGGAGTGTGTTCTTTTTTTAGAGTTGTGTTGATAATCAAGCATTAAGGGATTTTAACACACAATTTTTTTGTGAGATAATCAACAGAAGTCAACAAAAGAAACCTAAATTATAGCCTAACTAGAGAAAATAAATCCTTCTGTCAATCTCACCATCTTGAAAAATAAAAAAGATCTCCAGGGTGAATTAGGTGATGCCAAAACTTCAATCCACACAACTGGCATATCAACGTTATTTATAGGAGTTATCTTAACGACACTAACCTAGTAACCTACACCAGCTATCTAAGGCTCCCTTACCTTAGAACTTCACAAAATCCACTATCATTTGATTTTTCAAATGTTGAAATCAATGTATATCTTTTGGCCAGCATAGTTCTAGCCATCAAAATATTCTTTGTTACCATTGACGAACAGTAGAAAATGTTTGGCTCTACTTCAAAATGACTATCTTCTTCAGTCATAAAGTTGATAAAGAATTATGAACGTCTCTAATGTATAACATATGAACGTTCTCTGTTCCAGATACAGAATTTCATCTTCACACTGAGGATTTTTAGATATCAAATATGAAGCTCAGATCTCACTCTCTTCGATCAACTTTCTACTTATCACTTTGATCTCTTGTTCTTCGCTGCCGAACTTAGCTCTCGCCCAAACAAGCAATCTGGTGTAGACCATATGTGATCCATATTAAAAAGGTTTAACACTTTTGCATGCATGGCATGCCCAAAAATTAGCTTTCAAACAAATAAGCATCACCATGTGTTGCAAAATGAACAAGAAGCTCGTCCACCACATTTTTACTGCAACCTCAATGTAGGAAGGATTATTTGCCCCTCCATGTCAGTAACATTTCTAAGATGTTGGAGCCCCATGGTCAAACGTGTAAAAAATTCTCCAAACAATTTTATCCTTTCTTCTATAATCAATAGTTCAAGTATATTTTGAAGTCAGTTATTAACTTATTAGAGATTCATGTTGGACTTACAATTTCTTAGAAGAATACAGCCTGATTCCTGATTTATGATGTTAATGTAGCAGCTTAGAACATTTTACTTTCATCTTTATAAATTGATATTTCAAACCGATGTATCTGGAAACATAATGTGCATTCATTTTTTTGTTGGGGTTGGGAGGGTGTAGAAAAATATATGCATATTAAAGTTTTTAGCTGCTTTAGATTTGTGGATTGATTTTTTCCTAGTCAAAACGGAAGAGTTTATGCTCATTTTCTGTCTTAACAGTGTGTTCTTTCTATCCCCCCACCCCCACCACTATGCAATTATATGTAGGTGATGTTGCTGCTCTTGGTTGGTGGGATCTATTTATCAACTACGGGTACATCAGATTTTTTTTTTAATTATTGTTTGTATTTATCTACATATATGTCAAGGTTCTGTGTATTGCATGCTGAAACAGTAGCATTCACTTTTCAGTGTTGCCGAGTGCTTTGCTTTTCTAATTTGCACAAAGTGGTATAATCCTGCAATTCATAGGGGTTCTCATCTTACAAGAGCCGGTTCATCGGCAACGAGTATTAGATATCTTAGCTCTAGTAGCAGTATGATGGCATTTTCAGATGAAGATCAACAGAATAGAGTATGCAGTTTGCAAGACATTGGTGGGCATGTAATGAAAATACCTTTTGTTGTTTTTCAGTTGATGCTATTCATGCACTTAGAGGTATGTTCAGTTATGACAATCTCTGATTTGGATTCTAACGTGTATTTTTAAGAATTGAATTCGTCATCATACTTTAAATTCCAGGGAACGCCGCCTGGTGCTAAACATATTCCAATTCCAGTTTTGTTTTCCCCTCTTCTCCTGCTGCTAGGAGCTGGATTTTTGTTTGCTATTTTTAGGTTTTTGGAGAAAATCATTCTTGTACTACACCATGAAGGTGATACAGGAAGCCAATATATAATATCACAAAGCGCCCGTGATTATTTTGATTTTTTGCATCATGGATCTAGGTAATGACTGTCAATTTTTTCAAGAAGGATCCTGTACTCCCTCCAACAATGCCCAGGGTTTGTTTTTAATGCATGTGCTTTACATCACATATCAGGTTCCTTGGTTGGTGGTCAATTGATGAAGGAAGTCGAGAGGAACAAGCTCAGTTATATTGTGCTGGGGAATTGGGGTTAGTTCTCTTAATTGATGTTTCGAGACATTCTCTTCAGTAATATCAGTGTGTAAGATGACTTCATTATTATGTACTGTTCATCCGTACTCGTTTTAGTTGTTGGTAATGCATGTAATGTGCTAATTCTATTGGCAAAATTGATGACATGCTAAATAAACTGTTAACGCAAACAAGTCATAATTTCTCCAGAAAGTAAAGGAAAAATGTAGGAAATTACATTTGTTAGATTTCAGAATTGCACTTAACATTTCATTCTCATTTCGGAGTCAAACATATTCATGATGGACAAATGCCTGGTACGCACATCGATGCTGGACTCTGGAAAAGAATATAAACTAATTGCTGTATTTTTCGGCTTTTAGTGGCTGTAAAAGGTTAATGAAAACTCTCTATTTGCTGAAGGAAATCAGGATTTCGGACTTTAGAGTCAATAAGTCATTCCACAAAACCCAAATTGATTTTTCTTAAATTTCTACTTTAATCCCCAATTTCATGATGACAGTGACAAGTATTATCATTCTCAAGTGCTAGATGAAGATAGAATTCATCTTGAACTTGGTGTATAACTCGAACGTCATTTCCGCCTACCCGTCATCATTCTCATAACCTCTTTCGTTATTAAACAAAGGATAGGCCAAACGGATTTCAAATATGAATAGATCTTCGCCATGGATGTTAGCAAGGAAGTTGTTAGATGTTGATGTAGATTTAATGTTTGATCTGCTGAAGAAATGAGAAATTGAAAGATGGAATTGCTTCAGAGTGACACAAAGAGGGCATTTGGTGTCTCTTCTTTTTCCTTTTTCCTTCTTCCTTATTCCCTCGTAGATTATAGTTCAGCCTGGAGGCGTGAAGACACTGAAGAAAATTTCAAGTATCTGTTGCTCTAGACAAAAGTCATAATTTTATCTAAAGTGAAGACCTTGGGCCATTTATCATGTCAGTGTGCCCAGATCTATCCAGATTAGGAGATCAGAACTACATCACCATACTCTGCTCTTGGGTCTCTTATATATCTTCTGTTCGGTTAAATAATGTTGCGAACATGTTATACTGACAAATAAAATGATTCACATATCCTATAGCTACATACCTTGTATTTTTGGCTCAGTGTTAATAGCTGCTCTTACAGTCCTAGTGCTATATAGTTATTGGACACCGTGTGATAGTGAATTGAGCAAGCACAACTGTTTATTTAATTGGCTGATGCATTTATTTGTTTGTTAACAGGTACAATACATTTTCACCTGATACTGTAAAGAAAATGCCCAAAGCTGATCTTGCTAATGAGGTGATTATCTTGCAGTTTCAGTTTTGTGTAGTGAATGCCCAGCCTTTCTTCTAGTTCTCTCCAGTAATCTTCATAGTGGGCCAATAATCTAAATTTCTAGGCTTGATTAATCCATGACTGAGTGTTTCGACTGTATTACTCAACTTTCTCAGATATGGAGACTTCAAGAAGCACTTGCTGAGCAATCAGAGATCTCAAAGATTAGCCAGGATGAATTTGAAAGACTCCAAAATGTAATACTCAATGTTTCTATTAGATTGCATTTTGAGAATCCATGATTAACTCATTTTATGTTTGATTAAAATGGATGTACCTGTTATTGCCTAAGATATGTGGAGCGGAATTAGGAGTGGGGACTGGATTGCTGTCCAGAGAATGGAGAGAGCATTAATAATTTGTACACAAATGAACGTGCACATGTACACACAAAAGATTAAGTTTGGTTGTGTACTAGCCAAAATAAGAACGAAGAAAAAGAGTGACATTTAATATGGACAATGCCCCTTTATAAATATGAAGCCATACAACAGAAAATCATTCATTTGGTTACTCTATTTTGAGAAGTCATAAGTTCCCTTCAAGTTTCCATCATTGGCTTGTATTTTCTTGGGTCCATGAGCTTCATAAATGAGTTAATATACGAAGTATAATTGCATAATCATTGCTATATAGATGTTCATAAAAAAAATTGTAAATCAAAGCACTATCCTTTTAGCATCACTTAGCTGAATTGATGTTTATCGATATGGATTAATGAAAGGAGAACGTAAATAAAAAAGCCACCTTTTTCATATATGTAGAGCTGCACCTCTCTGGAGATCCCCTCTCTGACCACTCAGAATTATTTAAAAACTTGACCAAGTATTCATTAAAAATTGCTTAAATATGCTAGTCCTTATTTGTTTTACAATCAAATTTTGCAATCTTCTATGTTTACTTGCTATTAGTTTGCAGTGTGTACAATTTTCACTGTAGAAAACATTACTAGTGTTTATACTTGTTTTTTTTATAAAGCTTTACTGCAGCCATCAGTTTTGGCTCCAACATTATTTCTCATTTCATTTCTTGCTTTATTAGGAAAAAATTCTATGTAGGATTTGCTTTGGAGAACAGATAAATGTAGTTCTACTCCCTTGTAGGCATCACGTACTTTGCAGGTATTGCTTATATCCTGGTACTCTTTTCTTTTCAATGATCTCCTATTTATCTCCTATTGTTTCTTTCCTTGGCTGCTGATGAGTAAATAATATTGTGCTTAAAAGAATATTTTGGTTCTCTGGTTTAAAAGTGATAAGTTAAATTTACAAGAGGGTAGATTTATTTTTGTGAATTTCTTCTCTCTTTTCCTTTTTTGGTTATGTGACATTGTCTTCTAAAGGATTAAGGATTATGTTAGAATTTGGGTGTGACTCGAATTCTTTGTTTGAAGTATTGAAGAATTTTAACTGAAGTGCACGTCAAGGAGAATTCAAGATTAGAATGTTATTGAAGTCCTATCTCAAGTTGAAGTTCTATTTTGGAAGTCCATTGGGAGTTGGAAATTGGTATGGGACTCGAAGGAGAGATCGGGATGGAGAAAACAATTTGGGAATAAAAAAATAATAATAAATTAAATTTCGGGCAGATCGCCCAACGGCATGGGCGCCGAGGCGCCACCTTACCTGTTTCGGATTTTTCACATTTTTATCTCCTTTTTCATTTTGGACTCGATTTTTTGGCATCATATTTCATCAACAACTCTACTATGAGGGTTTAGACGTCCCATACATGTTCCCTATAAATGTTAACTCTTTAATACAATTTTATTGTGTGGGAAAATAGATTACTAGAATTATAGGATCCTCCCTCTTCTCTATTATTCTTGAGTCAATAAAATCTCTTAATTCATTTGTCATATTTATTGTCTTTATTATTTTTTTTGCTTGATCTAATGCTTCATTATTTGCTATAGAACTTCAACAATTCATTCTGGTGGTTGGTTTCATCAAGTGGTATTCAAATAATACATAATTCTTGTATTTCCAATATTTCTAACTGTGATCCGGGCATATTAATATTTTTTTCTAACAATAGATATCTTGTTTGTTTCATAACAGATTGTGATATCAAGCATCGATAAAAAGTTATTTGTTCTATTTATAAGGTTGGAACTGGTATATTGAATGAGAATAGGTAATTTTTTGGAACAGAATTCATTATGAAGGACAATTTTGTCCTGTGAAGACTTTTCTTGGAAGTTCAGAAGAAGGCTTTGTGTAGAAAGTGCGACCTTCTAGACCTCTTACCACAGAACATGACTTCTAATGGCTTACTGTACTTTTTGGCCTGAGATAACTCGGATATAAACCTCATGCCTTTTACTAATTTTCTACCCCAAATTTGGATGGAATCATATCTTGATCTTATGAATTTCTTCTTTGATTTGTTTGAATTTATTTACGCACATTATACTGTCTCTTTGCAATTGTATTTGTTCAGTTTATTTACTGATTTTTACATTTGTTTAAAATTTCTGATCATCTTATTGTGATGGTGTTAATCAGCACCTGTTGCGAGAAGTGCAAGAAGTGCCCCATCTGCCGTGTCTACATTGAAGATCGTTTGCCTGTTTATGATGTGTAGTATACTTGTAATCCAGTAAGGTCACATTCCACCGGAGACACTTTTTGCTACAAAAAAAAACCACTGGTTAGATGGTAGAATGCAGTTTTATCAAGTCATCTTACCATCATAGTATGTATGTAGAAAAAAATTATGTATACTTTTGAGTAATATCTGATGCTTACTGTACCAGCTTGTGAAAAAGTTCATACATAATTTGGGCATTTGGAAGTTGGTCTTTGTTTTTACTTTTGTATATTCCATGTGTTTTTCTTAAGACTTCTCCCTACATTCAGGAGGTAGAGAAGTGTCTGCTCGGTGCTTGTGTAGAACTGGTCCAAGCAACGACAGGAGGTGGAAGAGTCCAGTTGTGAGGAGAGGTGATGGGAAATGTGATTACATGCACAATATCTAATATTTTAGGACTCGGATTTTATTTATCTGTCCCGCAATTCACATTTAAGTGCTAAAGATAGCACAAACATTTTAACCCAAAAAATTACTATCAGCAACCCGAAGATATTACAGTACTCGTAAAATATCTAGAAGGCTCTACTTATAACACTGCCATTTGAAGTCATATGGCTACATGTTGAAGCACTGAACTAATGGATTCCACTTTCACCTAAGACATGCATAGATGCGATGGGATATTCGAAAGTGTACAAAACTGCTCAAACTCGTGCTCTTCAGATTCTAAAAAGCTAAATGTATTGAACCAACCAGACGCAAAGATCAAGATCAGAGTGCCTCCTATAGATTAAAGGTTCTCGATAATACTCTTGGATAATCATACTCATTCAGCTCAACCAACATCTTCTTCACCCGTCTAACGAGTATATCGGTTTCACTTTCCAAGCTACCAGAAGCAAGCTTCTTCTCCAGAGAATTTTCAATTAACATCAAGTAATCCACCAGTGGCTGCAGTTTTGGGCTACATACAAGAAACGAAAAAGGAAAAAAATATTACTTAGCAAAAACTTTTCTGTGTTTCATCAGAAACGAAATCCTAGATATTGTTAACAAACAACATGAAGATTTATTATTTTTGTTATTGAGCATTAAGTTCTTTTCCTCAAATAAAGAAGATCATATAGTACTAGATCCAAATCATGTTACCAGAACACTAAGAGTACAAAAAAACTAAGTTCCTTTCCTGCCGGCTGAAAGCCTGAAACCCAACTGAAGAGAGTAAGCGTTTATCCCTGAATGTCTTCAGCTTTATGATTCTTTCCTGCTTGAGTCTCATTTACAGAAGGCATGGAAGAAATGCTCCAATGCTATAAGCTTTGATGGTCTACTTATTTTGTGTGGACATTAATAGAATTTTCCATCCAGGTAACATCCTGCATCTTCCAGAGAGCGTGGAGAAAAGATATTCATGGGGGTCGTGTAGGAATTATACAGGCCCCAAAACACAAAGTAATACAGAAACAAAGATGAACACAAATGATTTTTCGCCCTAAGGCCCGGCTGTTCCCCCCAAAATTAGGGCTAATCACCCGTTGAGCATTCACCGAANTTGAGCATTCACCAAAGTGATTAACGCTCCAATCCACTAGAAACCAACAATAATATCAAGATCAAGGTTACAATACAATAGATCCACAAAAGATCAGCCCTCAAACCCAGAAATCTCTCATAGAACACTCAGAAAATACGATTACACCAAGTAACCAAAGGTTTACTGCCTACTGAAGAACAGAAAACCAACTTAAGCCTTAATCAAACACTAGATCTCACCAAGAAACACCTAGATACAAGATTACAGGTGAAAACCAAAGGTTTTCAGAGAGAGAGAAACGAGAGAACCAAAGAGTAAACCTTAGAAGGATCTCGAACATATTAGAGCAATGAAGAGACTGGCCAAAAATAATATCAAACGGTAGAAGCATCCAACGGTTGCATCTCAACCATATGTTACAATCTCAGCCATAGAGATAAGTAATAACTTGGGCTACCGGGTTGCATTCCAATGGGCTGGCCACCTCATAAATAGTAATAAGTGCATCATAGGGCCTAGATATTATAGAATTGGGCTGCCACAATATTGGGCCAAATTTTTAAACACCAAGTTTACAATCT